AAAAATGTAAGGGGTAAATATTTGGTAGTAATCAATCTAATTTATTGCAAGGACTCGAATTTTTGTCACATAACTGCTAAACGTTTTATCACATTTAAAATTTAATAAGTCTAATACGATACTTATTAGTTATTGGTTGTAATGAATAGAGCCCATTCGTAAGTTTATATGCAATATGTATATAATGTGTCGTGATTATATCAAATATGTGTATAGTTAATGCTATCTTTGATTTTAAATTATGAAGAAGAWCACTGTGTTTTAATTTGAAAGTKGAATTTGTGCATTTTCGTTGCGCTTCCTTCAAACAATTGATGCTGTTGTGAGTAAAGAAGACGGCAAGACGCTGCAGTTCATTAACCACAACATTTTTTGAATTTACTTAATCCTGCTGAGTTTCCACCACATAACATACAACTCACCCCTAGGCTTAAAAATTGTATTTAGCTCAATGTCAATTATTTAGAGATATAATGACATGTTTTGAAATTTATCTTGTAAATTTAATTTAAATATTATATTCATTTGTCAATTTTTAACACATGTTATTGTAATCTTAATTTCTGGACTTCCCTCGTAATTAGGGAAAATAAAAAAAAATCTATGGAAATGAATTGCCAAAGGATTTGGATTTTTTTTTACTATCATATGATTTATAGTAAATTAGATTTTCATGTTTTACTTAATTTTTTTAAAGAACAAGATGGTTAAATTTAATTTAATTAATAAAATYATAGATAGCACAATGTATAAGTGTATAATATTATGTGTATTATATTCACTACCGTTAAATAATTAATTATGCATTAATATCTTATAAAATTTTATACCCACCTACAACATGTAATATTGAAGTAGTATAATAGCTAATTATTTATTATTATTATTACCTAAATAATGTTTGTTACTTTGGACAGCTACCAGAAAGTGTTCAAAAAGGGTACTTAACATTTTCAATGTTGCAAAATTAATAAATATCAATGTAGTTATTCTCAATATTATAACGCAACAAAATGTTTTTTATTTTTTACTACAATTTTTTCAAAATAAAAATTATTTAGTATATTATATTTTGTTAAAAAAAAAAAAAAAAACTATGATTTTTTCAACGCAGTAGTCTAACCATTTACGTTGTTTTTTTTGGTTTTCTTGTCATCTTCGATGTCGGATTTAACACTAGCAGTGGACTTTTGAATAGCTTCATCGGTCAACCGAAACGATTCCATTAATAAATTAGTACCACGTTCAATAGCCGCAGTGGCTTCCTTGTTCCATTCATTGATTGGACTTTGGATCATGGTCTTAAAATTTGAATGGTCATCAAGCATGACGTTCGTTTTGCCCGCCATTAGATCCTCCAAATGATTTTTCATAACTCGAAATGTTTCAAGTTTTTGACAAATAGCATACTGAAATATAAACGAATAATGCGTCCACGTTARAAGCAATAACCTTTATTATAATGCAAAATAAAATATTTAATTTTACAAATGTATTACGATCCGTTTATCATAGAATGCCAATTATTATAAATTATTATTATCTGCAAATAATGCAATACACAATTTTAAGATAGGTACCTATAACATACACGTAAGATTCATTTTGATATTATTAAAAAAAAAAAAAAAAATTATCCGCTAATTAAATATACCAAATAATATTATTTATTCATTATTTGATTATTTAGAGATTTTACCTTTAACATCATTTAGAAATCTTCTTCCACACTGCATGAAAGTGATTAATGAAGATATAATGATAATTTTTTATAGTAAAGAGAATGTAAATTCTGTAGAAATAAGGAAAAAGTTAAAGGTTTTCCCCCAGTTTTACTTTGGTCATTAAAAAATAAAATAATTATTAATTAATATTATACGCTAGATAAGTACATTAAACACTGTAAAAACTCGTCGAAATCGAAGAATTTTACGTCGTGTATCAAATAAGATTTTACTATAATTATTAGTAATACATAACAAATTTATGTTCAACAGATCTCATTTAGCTTCGTTAGTTTTAAATTTTAATAATCAATTCGATAAATTTATTGATATTTATAGAGGACTTAAAGAGTTGTTATTTTTACTTTAGAACATACCATTCGCAAGTTTGAGTTGGTCTTATAATTAGTCGGGTTTAGGTATTATTAAACTTAAAGTTAACAACAATTCTGAGATTCATTGAGAGTGTTATTGCGATGTTTTAATTTTGAAGTGAGTCATAAGCGTGTATATTATTATTATTATATTATTATTCACATAACTCGTTTCAAAATCAAAATAAAACATTCCCAACATACCACAGAATATTATATTACCCATAAGTTTGATAATAATTAAATGCGATTTAATATTAAAACTAAGATAAAAATATAAGAATCATGAACATAAATCTGCAACATGGCAAATAATACATATTGCGCACTCGTAAGATTGAGACAACGCAATAAACGGCTGAGAAGTCTTCTTGTTACTCCATGAATTTTATTATTAGGTAGGTACCTAGCTATTTATCATAGTTTTTATCGATTGTATGTAAATGTAATCAACTATATATTATAGAATTATATTGAACTGTTAAAAAAATAACTTTATTTTTATGTCTCGCTCCATAATTGTTCACTGTTAGGTAAACGTACAAATAAATTCGTGTTATATAAGCATAAAATGATTCGTTTGACAAAATATATAGATTAACCTCATTTCTGAATATAATTATAGTTGGTCGAGTATTTTAATCGAATGTACCTGAATATATACATATATTTTTTCTAATTTATAGAAAAACAATACCGAAAATGACGATCATTGTATTTATATAATAAACAAACRTATGTAACAACTTGTTAGCGCAATTCACTTACCATAAGTGTACCCAAGAACGATGCGTGGGAAATAATTCATATAACAACAATATTTGTTTTGATGTTTTGATCAAAATTTTCTTGATTCACGGTGCTGTTTAGAATGTTAAGATGTTTTCTAACTTCTGCAGTATGCAATTTGTCAGTTACATAATATAATCCGTAATGATTAGACGTGTATCACACGTGATAAGCGAGTGCAATAACTAAATCGAAGTAAAATTATATTATAACACTGAAGCGAATAGAAATAATGTAAATCTTATTTACTCCGTTACTTTCATTAGTATTACTAAGTGATATAATTAATAAAAAAGTTACTCTACTCAATATTCAAATAAAACTGTAATGAAACTCCTTTACTTTTTCAATATTAAAAGAAACTTTGTTGTTATTTTAGCGTTTCAAAATAAAAATCAGTAAACGAGTTTCTATAATTTTTAATTAATCTTCAATCGATTATCAACTTTTTACTATGTGGAAATAATGTATTAGTAATTGAACTAGATTTAAGATTCCAAAAAATGCATTTTGAGCAGATAATTAAATAAATTTAGTATGTTGTCTAAAACATCGAAAAGAGAATTTTAAGGACTGACAAATTAAACTAAGTAAACAATTACCTTTTATTTTTTTTYCAAATTATAAGATTTTTTTTCTTCTTTCTACTATAAACAGTAAGGCGTTATATTTTTATAATCACTTACTAAAAAAAATGTCCATTACATTATCATTACTTAGAAAAATATTTAACATGTTCATTACTTCCGTTACGTTACTAACCAGCAGGGCCTTGGTCACAGGCCATAAGGGATGAGAGTGTCATCATATCCCCCCACCTGTTTCCCAATTTTTTCTTATATTTTGTCGAAGCGATGAAGGTATATTTATCATTTTATAACGGTGGGTCTCAGAATAATCAGAAATACAATATGTATCATATTTAATTAAAGCTGAAACAGCACTGGTAAATGATATGTAAAACACTACAATAACTATGTATATATCCAAGTGTAATAAACGTTCACCTGCAAATTTTTAAGTTTGTCGTTGAATATCTAATCCTCATGTTCCATTATTAGTTAAAATTTTGRTTCAATAGAAGAGTGAAAATCGAATAAAATCATAATATGTGATACGCAGAACCGGATTAAGAGTTTACCTGGCCTGGAGCCTAGTAATTCAAAGGGCCCTTAGTCCTTACAATATTTA